CATGCTGGAAGCTGATCCTGGTCAGGGATCCAGACAGGAACAGAATCCAGATCAGGCGGGAACAGAAACAGGTGGCAGGATCCAGACTTCCAGGCATCCACAGGCTCCCAGGAGGGTTCAGAGTCTGACTGGGACCAGAAGCATGACCAGGTGGTGACGGACAGGAGCAGACAGGATCAGGTGCAGACAGGCAAGCTCAGTGGAAGAGGGTAGCCGAGACAGGACGTAGGAACCGGAACTTGATGCAGGACTTTAAACTAGTCTCCTCCCTAGAGCCAGGCTTACTGGGATAAAAACTGAACCTCCCCCCATAATGAGCCAAAAACCCAGAGGACTCCGGGGGGGAGGAACAGTGGATGATCAGGAGACAAACACAAAACCCTCTTTCCACTGGCTGCCAGGATCCAGGACACGAACCGTGAAATCAAACTGAACAGAAAGACTGACAGAAAACAAATAATGATCTGGCCCTGAATGCTCAGGCTGAACTGAATATAAACCAGAGGAAACCGGTGAGAGGAATAAATTATAATTGAGGCAGGGAGGGAAAACGACAGGTGAAAGGAATGACTAATTAAGGGCCAGATCATGACACATGAGCAGATTACAAAAGAAGAGTGGGAGAAAATTCCACCTGAGAAGTGCAAGAAGCTTCTAGATGAATATAAGAAAGGTTTGGAGGCTGTCATTGCTGCCAAATATTAGGCAGGGGAGTCAATATTAGTGCTCACGCTGGTTTTCTGTTTTGTCCTTTGGAATTAAAATATATGTGTTGAAATGGTAACTCTCTTTGTTAAATTTTTTTGGACCTTAGATTGAAATATGTTGCTGATATAACTTTTGAACATTTCCATTTATTTCTGAAGATATTCACTGAACAATGCCAAACATGAAGGGTTGCCAATGATAGTGAGCAGGTCTGTAATGATGTTCCATTATTATTATTTTTTTTTTAACTTTGTTTCGAAAGTCAGTTTGGCCAAGATTTGGCCGTTCTGTGTCTTTTTTTTTCATATTGATTTGCAGAAAAATTGCAGCTGCTTAAAGAAGTCTAACTAATGTTCTGTATATCGCCATGGTAACTGTACTTTTTCAATAAATGGACCAAGTAGTTTATAGGTTAAAAGAGACACAGAATCTGGTTTTTATTCATTCCACTGGTCGTTTGTTTGGATCAAATAGAAATAGAGGCCTGCCTCTAATTCTGGCCTCCTTCCAATAATGGCCTGGACCAAGATGCACCAGAGTGAAATAAAGGCCCGTCCTATATTAG